AAGCAAAATAAATAGAGCGTTTTTTGCCATGACAGACGAACGCGGTAGCTGGGCGGCGGCGACGCGGGCTGCGCGGTGGCGACGCGGACTCCGCTCGACGACCGCGGCCGCGCGTGTGTGGTGGAGACCGCGTGGCCGCCGCGCAGCGACGCGTGCACGACTTCAGAGACCGAACTGTCATGGCAAAAAACGCTGTATTGATTTAGCTTTTACGTTTTAACTTAAATGAGAGACTGGCTTGTCTTTGGTCTAGGCGGCGGCCGCGTGACCACCGCGGGGTTGTATTATTCCGAGGAATTTAAATGTTGTTGCCTAATAAATAGAATTCAGATTCGCCTTTATGTGCGTGAAAGCGTAGTAACTGGCCGCTTATTGTTTAAATATATAGATAATTCAAGTATGTAAAAGATTTATTGGTAAGGATACAAGCTAGATGAGGCTGTGTATATCTTAAATTGTTGTTAAGTTGCTAGATTTGAATGTATGTTCGTTAAATACTAAATTAATTATCATTTATATGAACGGGTAAATAAATGGCCGCGAAAAGTAGGGCGCAAAGTAAGCTAAACTAAAACTATGCGATTGTAAACCGTACACATTCACGATAAAGTAAAACTACTTCAAGTGGCTATGTGGCCGAACGGTCACCATGATGAACTGCCACGCAGAGGTCCCGGGTTCGATTCCCGGGCCGGGAGAAATAATTGTATAGCATACATTTATTTCACTCGAGATTTTCGGTGTAATTTGTGGTTGTCCATGACACCCGCGTCGAAGGGTTTTCCTAGTGCGGGGCTATGGGTGTGTGCGTTATTGATTTATTTATACAAATTATGTAGGTATGCTTCTTCAAAGTGGTAGTATAGTAGCTGTAGAGCTTAGAGTTCCTTGTGAAAGAATTCGTCTAGAAAAATACTGCCACCGTTCTCATTTTTGCCGCCAAGCGTTAATGTGCGCATTAATGTGTTCCAGTTTCTTTAAAACCAAGTGACGGAACGAACAAGTCGTGTGCCTGGTGGTTAGCGACACGCCTATGTATAACAGTTGCAGTGACATATAACAGTTGCAAGCACAAGTCCGGTCGTGTATGGAGTACTGCTGCCACTTTTGGGACGGCTCTGCTAAATACCAACTGGCCACCTTGGATTCAATAGACAAGCGTGCTAAGATGCTTATAGGTGACTCGGAACTAGTAGAGGCGAAGCTGCAGAGCCTTGAACACCGCCGTAGAGTTGCCAGCTTATCGGTATTCTACAGGATATATCACGGAGAGTGTGCGATGGAATTGTATAATTTGATTCCGCCTTCCCCTTTCCATCATCGGGAGACTAGACGTGGGCGGGGGTTCCACCCCTATGTTGTGGATATTCCCCGGATTCGCACGAAGCGTTCCCCGAACGCTATAACTTGGACCTTTTCAAGGCGAGAGTGAATAGGCATTATTTAGGTGTACATGCTACATCCTCGGCCTCATCGTCACTTTCCATCAGGTGAGTAGGAGGTCAAAATGCGCACTTATTTTTTATAAAAAAAAAGCTTTAAAACGAAAAGATGGACACTGCCACTGCGTACGTCAACCTGAGACATAAGTTGACAAGACCTTTGTACCAGTAATTCCACCAGCACCTTGACCTTTCTACACAGAAAATTTTAAAGGGTAAGAATGCTGATGAATTGACAGGCACATGGGACTTGTCAACTTTATGTCTCATGGTTGCAGTGCGACTCAGATCTTTGCGATTTAAAGCTCACCTGTCATGGATAGGCGTGTCGCCATCAGATGCACGACTTCTTCGTTCCATCGCTAGATATCATAAAAAAGGTATTGAACCAGACAGGTGGTTCCGATATCAGAGCGGTGGCTGAGTGTGCCTGGACAAGGAATTCGTGGAATGCAACGTAGTGCAAATTGCAACCTGCCTATGCCTAGCAGTGGATTGCGATAGGTAGTGTAATGGCTTATTAATATCTGACCGTTCAAATAAATCGAAGTAATGAAATAGATAGAACCTAAACGGTATACAGAACGAATAGCTCGTTTTTGCAACACAAATGTCTTGTAGACAATAAAAACAAGAAGTAATGGAAGGTTTCTAATGTTATACACATATATGTTATATGTATGCAATGTTATGTTAGGAATCTGAAGTGATTAGGGTAGTGCTTGTATCACCACTGCATTAGGTTCCTTTACGTTTGGATTCTATTTTCCATTTAACGTCAGGTGGAGTGTAGTTTGCTTTAAGCATAAAAAAGCAGTATGCGTTCGGTGATAATATTCCAACCCAGTTACTGATTTAAAGAAAATTATACATTTTTTTTTTTATATATATAATAGACACACGCTTGGCCACAATCTCACCTGATGTTAAGCGACGATGTGACCGACGATGGGACGCGTTTGCCTAAAAAATGCCTATTCACTCTAGCCTTTTCACATAGTAGCACTAGAGCTCCCTGTGAAAGAATTAGTCCAAAAAAGCACTGTCACCGTTCCTATTTCTGCCGCCAAACAGTAATGTGTGCATTACAGCGTTTTGGTTTTGAAGGGTAAAGGTGCTGGTGAAATTACAGGCACATGGGACTTGTCAACTAATGTCTCAAGGTGATGGGCGCAGTAGCAGTGCTCTTAAGATATTTGCCATATGTATTTACTCTCCTGTATACATTTGTATACATTGACAACTTCGGGAAGGAATATTTTTTGTCTAAGATTGAAATCTAATGGTAGTCGATGTATTTGTCCTTCACTAATTACCATCAAATTCTCATTTATCGTTTTCATACATGAAACGTCAATACTGAACAAGAGTAAGACAGAACAAATGTTGGTATGGTCGTTGGTTTATACAGTACATACGGTGGACAATACGACCATATTCATCTAAAATGTAAATAGGAGATTTTGACACCCAAAAAGGTTCCTTTGCATACATCGGCACCTTTTTGTCGTTTACCCTTAGCGGATAGGACATACTTCGCTCACAAAGGATGGTCAGTGAGCAGTAATAAAATATTTGTAATAGACTGACTGTTAAGGGTCGACGCTGTGGCTCCACCCAGCATAATATGGTCTTCATATTCCACCAAATGTGAGTATCGTTTAGTAGTAAAATGTGTAAAGTTAGTTCATCAAATTCTGGCCAGACGTGGCCTCGCGATATATCACTAAGTGTTACTGGTCTTGACAAGGGTGCAAAACACACAGTTTTATGTGCAAACAATGTTTCACAGAGCCCGGCTTTCATTTGCATTCACCAGAATTATAAAGTTGAGTAAAAATTGTATTAAAGCTTTGTGAGAATATGTTAATTACAGGAAAAGTTAACCGGTCTTGAAGAATTATATGGTTTTCCTCTTGGACATTAATTTAAACAAGCTACAGGATAATCTAGGACAGTTTTGGAGAGTACAGCAAGGATTAAAACGCTTTTATTGTAGCCTTTCACTGAAATGGAATTTTAATGCAAAGTTTCTGTCTGGAAAAACACTTAAAGATATTACGAATAAACTGAAGTTTGGATGCGGAGAAAGCTTTTTATGTTTCCAACTATTATTTTAGTTCTAAAACTGAACTTGGATAACTATTCTACTAAGTGCTGGACAATACGGAGTTTTCCTTTGTTGAGTAGAATATCAGAGAACCAATCCCGAAATGGTTGCCATAATAAAATCATAATCTATGCTTTTTTTATGACCACGCAGGGCGGGACGAGCACATCGTGCGCCTGGTGGTAAGCGACACGCCTGTAAATAATTGTTGCAGTCCCACTTAGAGCCTTAATTCGCAAAGATCTTACGGGCACTGCGCCTGTCATCCTGAGACATAAGTTGACAAGTCCCACGCGCCTTTAATTTCACCAGCATCCTTACCCTTCTAAACCGGAAAGCAGTAATGCTTACATTACTACTTAGCGGAAAGATAGACAAGGTGGCAGTACTTCTCTGGACGAACTCTTTCACAAGAAGCTCTACTGCTACTATGTATCATTTATTTAAATCAATAACTGGGTTGGAATATTATCTCCAAACGTATACATATTTTTTATGCTTAAGGCAAACTACACTCCACCTGATGTTAAAAGGAAAGTAGAATCCAAACGTAAAAGAACCCAATGCAATGATGATACAATCACTACACATATATACATACAACATATATGTCTATAACATTAGAAACCTTCCATTCCTTCTTCTTTCTACTATCTACAACAATTGTGTTACAAAAACGAGTTATTCGTTCTATGTACCGTACGCGCCCAGTTACACAAGGGGAAAGTTTTCGCGCGGCCTAGTTTTCTGCTTGATAGCAGAAACAGGTAAAGTAGCAGTACTACCCTGGACGAACTCTTTCACAAGGAACTCTACTGCTTCTACCACAGACATATATCCAGATGTCTGTGGCTACTACCCTTCCTCGTCCAGCCATACTCAGCCACCGTTCTGATATCGGAACCACCTGTCTGGTCCAATGGCCTTTTTTATGATATCTAGCGATGGGACGAAAAAGTCGTGCGCCTGGTGGTACGCGACACGCCTAGCAATGACAGGTGAGCTCAGACCACTCAGACCTTTAAATCGCAAAGATCTAGGTAGCATTGTAACCATGAGACATAAAGTTGACAAGTATCATGTGCCAACTTGTCAACTTGTGTCTAAGATCTTTTAGATCTTTTGCGATTTAAAGCTCTGAATGGTACTGCAACTGTTATGGATAGGCGTGTCGCTAACCATCAGGCATACGACTTCTTCGTCCCGTCACTTGGTTTAAAAAAAAAACTGGAACACAGTGCTTACGTTAACACTTGGCGGCAGAAATAGGTAAGGTGGCAGCATTTCTCTGGACGGACTCTTTCAAAAGGCGCTACTAAATTATCAACGAATTATTCCCTAAGTTGAAACAATCGTTTGAAACATTTATGTGTAATGTGCAGAAAGTAACTTCTCCTTAACCATACATGCGTAAGGATGCGTGTGCAATAAAGCAATTGACCCATTTGAGGGCCTGTCACACAGAACGCATCCGCCGACGGTGACACACGCGCCCACTGCACCAGCTACGCAATATCAGGTAACAAAATTGATAGTACATTTACAATAATATACAAAATCACTTTGACGATTTCAATATAGCTACCAGCAACTCACTAGAGATGACGCTTTAATAATTGTAATTCAGTGTATTGAATGTCAGGTGATAATATTCAATTATTTTTTTGTGAATTTACTCGATTACTTTGTTGTAATAAATTAATATAAAGATCGAACACTTAGAAAATAATTCCTTCGATCCGGAAATAATTGAATATCGAGGTAATGAAACATCCTGATGTTCAATAACTTAATTACAAAAATGATTAAAGCTATTTCAATGTATAAAAATTCCTTCAATCTGACTCTTACATAGTAAGTAAGTAGTAACTCAGTTGGTAAGAGCGGTGACCCCGTTGTGGTATCACACGGTAGTTCGTCTCCACTCAGACCGAAGGGATTTTTCTTTATGTATTTCCATCTTCTATTCACTAACATCAAATCACTTGCTATAGGAAAACACTATATAATTGCTTACGTAAAAGTAGGTGAACAGTAAATAAATAAATATTAGACAATGTCACATACGATGCTCAGAGCCCAAAGTAAGTAGCTAAAGCACTTGTGTTATGGAAATCCGAAACAACGACGGTACCACCAACACCCAGACCCGAGACAATACAGAAAAGTTACTTTCTACACTGACCCGGCCGGAGATCGAACCGGGGACCTCAGAGATGGCAACACCATGAAAACCAGTGTGCAAGCTACTCGACCACGGAGGCCGTCAAACAGTAAAATGAAAATATTTACATAGTTTCGATTTTATTAGTTCGAATCCCTGTACGTACCTAAGACTTTAATTTCTAAGTAATGGTACATTTGTAAATGTTTACTAGCTACCATTAAATAAAATAAATATTTCAGTATATTCAAAATATTTAAAAGGTTTAGAACGTGTTAAACTAGTTTGTCTCCACCAGACCAGTTCATCATAATTTCCGTCACCCTTAAAACGAGCAATGTTAGCAGAGATAGAATTATGAAGTATATTAACTTAACTCCAAAGAAATACATTGTTGCATTGCATTTGGTTTTAAATTTTTTTAAGTGCAACCAGCATTTTAACTACATAAGTGTACTTTCGCTTTTATATTAAGTCATAAACATAATACGAATTATGTTACATGAAACAAATTATGCGAAATCGTATATGCGAAATTTTAAGTCTCTTTAAACACAAAAAAGTCGACTAATTTAGTTCGTAGAATCTTTAACCTGTCTCCTGAAAAGTTGTAATTTTGCAGATATGGCCTTATTACATCTAGGGTTTTTTTTAATATAATACCAAGTGAAGAGACAAACAAGTCGTTCGCCTGGTAGTAAGCGACATGCCTATCCATAACTAACGGGCACTGCCACTACGCCCGTCACCCTGAGACATAAGTTGACAAGTTCCATGTGAATGTAATTTCACCAGCACTCTTACCCTAACTTCTAAACCGGAACGCAGTAATGCTCACATTACTGCATGGCGATAGAAATAGGTAAGGTGGGCAGTACTTCCCTGACCAAACTCCTTCACAAGGAGCTACACTGCTAGTGAATGAATGGTGGTTATTAGAGAATACTTAAATGAATGAAGAATTTTATTGTGGTTTGTAGCTATTCTACAAATACAAAACAATTAATTAACAAATTTTATAGCAATAAATAAACGAAATAGCTACTTGACATTTTATATTAAATAGACTATCAAAACTTGAACTGAATGTTGAAATAGTTGTTCCAAGTTAACGTTAAATACAAACAACTGTTTATGAACTAAGTTTTATCAAGTTGAAGTTAAGTAAACGGGCTATAAAGGTGCTTTATTCGATCATAACTTAGCAGCGGTACGTGTGTTTCCCGTTGCTGAATGCTGTGTTTAGTTCCATTGCCCTGTGCGTCAATTTTTATACTGTATGACGAAAACTAAATTATTAGAGCCTATACACACGGCGTATTTTATACGCGCCGCAAACGCGCGTCATCTGCGCGTATACGCGCCGCAGACGGGCCGTAGTCAATCGATTCAAACGCGCGCAAACATCTCGTTGCAAGCAAAAAGCTTATATACCCGCAGCTTATACATACATACATATACTTCAAGCCTTTTTCCCATCGGGATAGGTAGAGACAATAGTGTTCCACTTACTACGGTCCTGACACACATCTTTCGCCTCATTAACACGTATCAGTGCTTTCATACACGCTCGTCGGTTAAGCGTACTCTTGAACTGGCCCTTCTTTCAATCCTCCTCAATTTGGTCATGGTAAGTTCGCCTTGGCCGGCTCCTACTAACTTGCCCGCTCACACTCGCCTTTCATCCATTCTTGATTTTTCCCGGAAAAAGTCCCGACACATTGGAAAAAATATCATTTCTAAGGCTCATATTATGTTCTGCGTTTAAATATATATTTTGAAGTTTTAATAAAATAAACTTGTGTAGCTGAAAGCCACTTAGTGAAAAACGAGATTTAAAATGATTTCACAACAGCGAAAACACCTTTTTATTGGCTCCATCCTTTCGTTCAGTAACTTCAACTCTTGACAGGTGTCGATGTCAAATATGGAAAAATTAAGGAAAACAATACAATTTTTTCAAAATGGAAATTTTTCCATAACCCATCATTACATGTGCCTGTAATTTCACCAGCACCCTTAAAACTGGAACGCAGTGCCTAATGCTCACATTACTTCTTGGCGGCAGAAACTCTTTAACAGGGAGTTTCACTGCTCCTAAAGTAATGTAAGTATTGCGAACGATACACACGATGTTGTTTACAGTACCCTAGCAGTTCAGGGAGTTCCCCAATGTGAGACCAGTAAGCAGTATCTAATGCTCACATTACTACGTTATAATGGCAATGTAGAAAAACCTTAGAGCATTCCGCTGTGCAAGCACCTCCCTCCTGGGCATAACCTACCTTGACAAAATCTCTAAATAGATTGCGGATCCAAGTCGAGAACCAAAGAGAGCATGTAAAGGTGGGGTTATACCTCGAAGATCGCATGTGTGTGTGGTATGTCTCCCCAGACTATGGCACACCTTTCGTCGTGTCCTGCATTCACCTACACCTGCACACGCGAGGATCTGTACAATGCCACTGACAATCCTGTGTGACAAATATAAACGTCAGAGTCGACACGCTAAGAAGAAGAAGCATTTAAAAAACATAACTCTAAGGCTCAAGTCACACTGGCGAAGAGTCGAAGTGTCGCGTCACGTCCTGTTTTTAAATTACAACACTTAACGATGCGCGTCGTCGCGCGACGACTCTCGCATTAGTGCGCCCGGACGCGTGCGTCCCGGTGCGTCTGACGGCTCACTACGCTCAAGTAAAGCGCGACAGCGCGCATTTCCATATTAGCATAACACATATTTAATCCATAACTAAGGTAAAATAGAGATGAATTTGCTATAGACGAAAATCGACTCTGCGCCAGTGTGAGTTGAGCTTATGGGCGCATATATTCGATACGAATTTCATCGCGCTCACCGAGCGGAGTCCGCGTTGCCACCGCGTGCATCGAACTGTCATGGCAAAATGCGCTCTATTTTACGTTTTAACTTAAATGAGCATCCCGGGCACGCGGGCAAGCCTGGCTTGAATTTGGTCTACAAGGCGACCGCGCGTTTGTATTATTCAAAGGAATTTAAATGTTATTGCCTAGTAAATAGAAATCAGATTTGTCATTTATGCACATGGAGGCTGGTAACGTAAATTTTCTCCTCATGTAACTGGACGCTAAGGGACAAACACATCCACAAGGAGCTCTATTGCTACTAAGCAATGCTGTATTACGAATACAGTACTCATCGTTTAATTGTCTATACATAGCGTTAACATAAGCTTTTATTATCAACGTACGTGTTGTCAGTGAAAGAAAATTAGTTCATTAAAATTTCCGCAACATAGCGACCGACCAAAACTAACTTTTCATCCGGATTTCTCATTTATCATAATTTAATACCCTCCGCTTCGCTCCGTCACCGGTCAACTAGACGCGGCGAGAAATTAGGCCATTTTATGATAGATGTTCCATCCAATTTGCATTGACCGTTTGTTTTTTTCTCTCGTTCATTATATGAAGATCGTCACAATACAAATGGTCCAATGTGGGGTGAGGAATTTTTTTATAATATAATTATAACTTTTTAATAATAAAAAAACGAACCTCGAAAGTGTGCGCATCCGTTTTAGATTTGTTTTATTGTCACTGAAAATATATTGATGTGCCAAGTTTTATTAAAATCGGTTAACGAAAAGTGGGTAAAAATCAATAAACTGGATTCATGTCTTAATTTTCCACTCTGGCATTAAGCAATAAATTGTTAGCATTAAACCAATAAACTACCTTAGAGAGGGTATCATTAATATGGTCATAGTTAATGTCATGTCTGTCTGATTTAAAAATCAAGGATGTCTCATCAGCAAACAACACTATTTCACAATGGTCCTTAACAAAGAATGGCAGATCATTAATATAAATCAGAAATAAGAAAGGTCCAAGTATTGAGCCGTGCGGAACACCCATTTTTACCGGAGAACCAAAAGAAGTCACTCCATTTATGTCTACTTTCTGAATTCTACCATTGAGATATGACGAGACAAGTTTCGACGCCTTGCCATCGTAATGTTCCAGCTTCCTAAATAAGAGTAATATGATCAACGCAATCAAATGCCTTTGAGAGGTCACAGACAACACCAATAGCGTTCTGGGCCTTTCCCAAGCATCAAAGATGTGTTTTAGTAACGCTACCCCCGCATCGCTAGTCGATCTACCACTAGTAAACCCGTATTGTAAATACACACACAGTACACTATGAAAGATATGATTCCTACCGAAATAGGACAGTAATTGAGTTAGCATAACCTTTTCGAATATTTGATTAAATCGGGAAAAACACCTTCGTCAACCCATCTATTGAAAGTTATAGCTAAATGTGGGGAAATTAGATTAATAACTGAGTCTATTAATAAAGTAAAATAAAG